AGTTTTACAGTACTCAGGTGGTTTGAGTTCTTTTCATTTATTGGGCTTTACAGTACTCAATTGGTTTGAGTTCTCTTCATTTGTTGGGTTTTACAGCACTCAGTTGGTTTGAGTCCTCTTCATTTATTGGGCTTTACAGTACTCAGTTGGTTTGAGTTCTCTTAATTTATTGGGTTTTACAGTACTCAGTTGGTTTGAGTTCTCTTCATTTGTTGGGTTTTACAGTACTTAGTTGGTTTGAGTTCTCTTCATTTATTGGGCTTTACAGTACTCAGTTGGTTTGAGTTCTCTTCATTTATTGGGCTTTACAGTACTCAGTTGGTTTGAGTTCTCTTCATTTATTGGGCTTTATAGTACTCAGTTGGTTTGAGTTCTCTTCATTTATTGGGCTTTACAGTACTCAGGTGGTTTGAGTTCTCTTCATTTATTGGGCTTTACAGTACTCAGGTGGTTTGAGTTCTCTTCATTTATTGAGTTTTACAGTACTCAGTTGGTTTGAGTTCTCTTCATTTATTGAGCTTTGCAGTACTCAGGTGGTTTGAGTTCTCTTAATTTATTGAGTTTTACAGTACTCAGTTGGTATGAGTTCTCTTAATTTATTGAGTTTTACAGTACTCAGTTGGTTTGAGTTCTCTTCATTTATTGAGTTTTACAGTACTCAGTTGGTATGAGTTCTCTTAATTTGAGTTTTACAGTACTCAGTTGGTTTGAGTTCTCTACATTTATTAGGTTTTACAGTACTCAGTTGGTTTGAGTTTTCTTCATTTATTGAGTTTTACAGTACTCAGTTGGTTTGAGTTATCTTAATTTATTGAGTTTTACAGTACTCAGTTGGTTTGAGTTCTCTTCATTTATTGGGCTTTACAGTACTCAGTTGGTTTGAGTTCTCTTCATTTATTGGGCTTTACAGTACTCAGGTGGTTTGAGTTCTCTTCATTTATTGGGCTTTACAGTACTCAGTTGGTTTGAGTTATCTACATTTATTAGGTTTTACAGTACTCAGTTGGTTTGAGTTATCTACATTTATTAGGTTTTACAGTACTCAGTTGGTTTGAGTTCTCTTCATTTATTGGGCTTTACAGTACTCAGGTGGTTTGAGTTCTCTTCATTTATTGGGCTTTACAGTACTCAGGTGGTTTGAGTTCTCTTCATTTATTGGGCTTTACAGTACTCAGGTGGTTTGAGTTCTCTTCATTTATTGAGCTTTGCAGTACTCAGGTGGTTTGAGTTCTCTTAATTTATTGAGTTTTACAGTACTCAGTTGGTATGAGTTCTCTTAATTTATTGAGTTTTACAGTACTCAGTTGGTTTGAGTTCTCTTAATTTATTGAGTTTTACAGTACTCAGTTGGTATGAGTTCTCTTAATTTATTGAGTTTTACAGTACTCAGTTGGTTTGAGTTCTCTTCATTTATTGGGCTTTACAGTACTCAGGTGGTTTGAGTTCTCTTCATTTATTGAGTTTTACAGTACTCAGTTGGTTTGAGTTCTCTTCATTTATTGAGTTTTACAGTACTCAGTTGGTTTGAGTTTTCTTCATTTATTGAGTTTTACAGTACTCAGTTGGTTTGAGTTCTCTTCATTTATTGGGCTTTACAGTACTCAGTTGGTTTGAGTTCTCTTCATTTATTGGGCTTTACAGTACTCAGGTGGTTTGAGTTCTCTTCATTTATTGGGCTTTACAGTACTCAGTTGGTTTGAGTTATCTACATTTATTAGGTTTTACAGTACTCAGTTGGTTTGAGTTATCTACATTTATTAGGTTTTACAGTGCTCAGTTGGTTTGAGTTATCTACATTTATTGGGCTTTACAGTACTCAGTTGGTTTGAGTTATCTACATTTATTGGGTTTTACTTTGCTCAAATTGCTTCATTTACTCAAATGGATTAAGTTCACAGGACTCATTAGGATTAGTTTCTGAACTTGAATTGTTTGTTGCAATCGGTTTCCTTAAATGGTTTGAGTTACCTTAACTTAGGTTTTACAATGTAGATATATCAAACCCCACAATTTTTATGTATCCTGATTTTGTTGAATTGCATCACAAGTGGCTTGCTGGTAGCTTACTACTAAAATGGTGAACAATTTGCTGATTCATGTTCTTAAGCAAGATTCAGAACTACAAAATTTGGTCTCATTTCATATATTGTACATTCACACACAGTAACATTCATTTTGGCTAATTGATCTGCAGTTTCTGTTTCTTTTATTGGTGTTAAAATTTTGTTGGCAACACTGAACAGTAAATAACAATAAATGAAAGGATAACTATATAAATCACATCATTATATAACAGAAGACCTAGCAAGACAAGCTGTAAAGAAAGCTAATTTATGTCTGTCTGTCTCAATGCATCAGAATGATATCTGAATTCAGTTGTTCCAGAAGAAATGAGAGGCCATTGTCCCCTCCGCATGCCTGTCTGTCTGTCACTTTACCTGCATGTTCTTTTTTGAGGCATGAGGAAGCTATTAATTTTCTCCACAGGAAAGTAAGCCACTTATTCACTGACTCATTCAGGTCCTGAAAAGCGGTGCAAGATATTTAATATCATTGTTTTTGCTGTCGTTTGAATAGGCTTTTTAACCAAAGAACCAATCACAGACAAACAAGTAGGTATGTTTTACATTTCCAAGAAGGAAATTGCAAGCCTTTTCTGTAATCCATTATTGCATTTAGATAGTTCTTGTATACTGTTTGATTCTTAAGGTAAGTATTTCAAGGCACTACTTTTCAAATGGATCTTTAATCTTGCTTTAAAATGAACACTATGCTCAGAGCTCTATAGGTGTCCAAGTAAAAGCAATTTGAGTGGAGTTTCTTTTTGTGAGAACTGCCAGATTGCCTTCTGCAAAGCCCCGATCTCTTGTCGTCTTACCAGATCATGGTGGTTTCGACATACAGATATATTCACCCGCCTCCTTGAGACGAGGCAGCTAAAGTGTCTTTGTTCTGCTCCATTACTCGCAGTTAGGAACTGCGATTCATCTCCATCTGCTGCTTCTGCTGCGCTTCACCAACTTCGGTTTCCCCCAGACACGGTCACCAAAAGTAAAAAAAAAACTAAAAGGAAAGAAATTACTGAAAGTGGTGAAGTGTTTTCACGGTCTTCTGTGCAGATTTGCCACTCTCTCAGCGGGGGCTTTTCCTCTCTCTTATGAATCATTGTGTTTTCTAAACCTACACTGCGCCACAGCTTTGAGGATTTAATTGAATTTTGGCTTGTTTCTTCAAATCGTTCCTTCAATTTGTGTATATTTTGTCTGTAATGCGGAATGAATAAAACCGCTTTGCTGACAGAGAATGCTCTAAAAAGACTCTGAAAATGAAGTATTATACAGTAGGCACTGTTTAAAGAGATGCAAGCCATGTTAGTCATTCAAGTATCTCCACCAAACAGGACCCTTTTTTACAGTTCTTTGTAATGGTTAGTTTAAAACACCATGCCTTAAAATAGATTTTTAGAAATGTAGAAAAAAAAATGTATTAGGCTTATTACGGTATCAAATTTTCTTGTTGCGAGTAATTGTTGAATCTTTTATAACAAGATTCTGTACTATCCCAATATTAACCCAAGCTACTAACAAAAATCCTGTAACAGATATAATAATAATAATATAAAAAATAGTGTACTGCTTTATGTACAGAGTAACCAAAATCCAATCCAGACCCAGAGGGTTTTTCAGTCTAGACCTACCTCCATTTCATATTTCAAGAGCACTTAATTTGTGTAATCTACTAAAAGTTTGGATTTACAACTTTACCAAAAAGGCTCCTTAAACTTGTAACCATGTCAGTTTTTTAATGTGTTTTTGGCGATAGTCTGAAATTAAATCTAAGCCAATACTTTTTGTCATGGCATCCAGGCCACATACACTCAGAAAATGACGTTTGCTGTTTGTTCAAACTAATGATAAGCTAACACGACACAATTCTTGAGCTTTTTTTTTTTTATTTATTTTGGACAACTTAATTGTGTTTTGTCCAGTGCACTTAAATTTATAAAAGCTTATGAGTTAACTTAATTTATTCATGTTGTCCCAACACAAAACTGTTGTGTGGAACCCAGCATTTTTTACAGAGTATGTTTGCTGTGGTCTGGTGACGCTCATCACCACAGTGAGCATTTGAATGGGTTACAGTAGGTTGTCAGTTTTAAAAAAAAGGACAGACAATTTCAAAGATAACTCACAGAGATATGAGTTATTTTTGCTCAAATTTGTAATAAAACTGTTGGAGTTTAGGCATAATGGTTTAGGCAGTTCTTGGAATACAGACAATAGCATGTTACTTTTTTTGGTTTTTATTTTACTTAATTTAAAAATGATTCTCTTTTTGAATGACTCTTCTTAAATTATCACTTGTTATTTTGCCACTTTTGGACTTGTTATTGATGTATTTTTTTAAGTGAAAAGGGTATTTAATTTGTATCATTATTATTTTTTCGCATTTTAATCTTTATTAAAATCATATTTTATTATGACCAAATTTGAACTTTTGACAAAGATGAAAATTCTGATTTGCAACTTTGAAAGGTCAAAGGTCTTAAAGTCTTAAATTTGCTAAAATGTCTTAAATCATTTTAAATATGTCTTATTTTACCTATGTCCATGTGAAGACCCACCCAATCACCAGCAATACATCTCAAAACGTTTAGCAAAAGATTATTTATTAACTCTATTTACCAAGTTGGTTATATTATCTTCCTTAGAAGATAATAATTTCTTCCTTAGAAAAAATTCTTAATTTTTATTTATTTTTTTATGTTTTAACAGTGCCATTAGAAGGATCTCCTAGCATTAAGCCCCTTTGTGAGTCTGAAATTTCATTCATAATGATCTTTAAAAAGTCTAATTTAATTTGACTTTTTTAATTTGACTTGATGAAACCTGCAGTAATCTTGTGACAGATCAAGATTATAAAAACAATCGGTGGAAAAAAGCAACAATATCACAATCTGATCACAGATAAGATTTTGACCTATCGCTTTCTTTTAACAGGGCTTTCTGAAGAGTGAGCGAGTTGCCCGCATGGTACTGAGCGGAGGTTGTTCTGCCAGTGACTTCCGTGAGGTCTTCAAAAAGAACATTGAGCGCCGCGTGCGCAGCCTGCCTGAGATTGACGGCTTGAGCAAAGAGACTGTCTTGAGCTCCTGGATCACCAAGTACGATGCCATCTACAAAGGAGAGGAGGACCAGCGGCGGGCGCAGGGAAGAATGCCGTTCAGCGCTGTCTCAGAGCTCATACTTAGCAAGGAGCAGCTTTATGAGATGTTCCAGCACATCCTGGGAATCAAAAAGTTTGAGCATCAGCTACTCTACAATGCCCTTCAGGTTAGTCACTTTTTTTTTTTTTTGAGGGAACTTATGGTATCAAGCAATTCAAGCTTTTTTTTTTTTTACTTTTTAAAAATGTTATTTAGAAGAGAAAAAATTGACATAAAAAATATATAAAAACAAAGAACGAAGCGGTTGTCATAAGGGTTACAAAATCATATCATTATACATTTGACATACATTATCACATTGTTTACAATCACATAGCATTTTTGCCAGTGCTTATTGCACTATTTGAATGAAATCTTAAAAGTTAAAAGTCAGTCTTTCCATATGGTTTATTTCCTTTGCAATTCCCATCCATTACAGGGCTCGAAATTAACCTTTTTTCTTGATAGCACCTGTGCTTTTAACTTCAAACTTTTAGGCGCACCAGAAAAATTTAGTCGCACCCACCAAAAACTATGACCACAGTTACTACACGTTCTGCAATAATAATAATAATTAATATTAACACTCTAATCACAACTAACAAAAAAACAAAAATCTGCATGCGCTCACTGGCCTTGCACACACTGCTTGACGTGAATGAGATGAACTGAATTAACAATAATAACTGTGCTGTTCTCACAGGAGTTGTCTGATATTGCACAGATGATATTGACATATAACTTATTATTTGCATAAGTTATCTTTATAGCAGTAACGGTCTTTTCATGAGCTGCAATATTACTTTCATCTAGGTGAACGCAGTGCCAATCACACGACTGACAGCATTGTGACGATTAGAACATCTTGTACTTAAAATGTGTAGATTCAGTGGCAAACACTGTTATCTGAAAACTCTGTCCCATTGGCTTTATGGTGAAAGCTTTAGCCATTTTCATAGCGGACTTTAAACACTGGAAGTCTTTTATCCACTTTTAGAAAAGTGTAAATGCTGGATTGACATTAAGCACATGATCACTAATCAGATGTGCCATTATTTGTAACTGTAGGTGGTTTCTAAAACTGAATCTGTCAGTGTTGTTTTCATTTTCACGTATCCAGACCTTTACATTTTCGTGACTGTAGCCCCCTGTTATATTACCTAATCCATTCGCATTCTATTCTAGCACAGTGGGCCAATAAGAAGAGCTTAAATGCGGGGCAAGCATTGCGAGCTTTGTTTACTGCAGCAAGTTGACATGTCAACTGTTTTAAACCATTCCTGAGTGCTGCATTTGGTGTTTTTAGGTGTAAAGATGCTTAATGCGTGAATGCCGCCTAATTCCGCGTATGTGGTAAATATTTTGCTGTGAAAACTGGGCACACGACATCAATTTTAAGCACTCGCACAAATGCTCCTAAATAGGAGGTTTCATAGATAAAATTCGGGCGCATATTATACCAAAATGGTCGCAATTTCGAGCTGTGCATTAAGCCCTTGTTTGAGGATCGGCCTGAAACCATTTTCGAGTTATGGCTTTTTTGATACTTACCAAAAGGATTTGAATTAAGAATTTGTCAATAGTTGGAATAACTACTGGTATTTTCCCAAGGCATAATGTAATAAATAAGTACTCCGATTCTTTTACAGTTATCTTTTTCATTTCAGTTGCTATTTCATAGCAGCAGGTCTGTATTTTTGGGCAAGCAAAAAATGTGAAAATGGAGACAGTTTAGGAGTTTTAAAGAACTTCATCAGATTTTTCCATCCAAGCTCTCGAGTTTGTGGTTTTTGCTGGTGTAACACACATATCTGTCCAGTCTTCCTCTGTTATGTGTTGGTTTGGTTTAGCTCTTTCTCTTTCTAGTAACTAATAGCTAATAGCTTAAAATTGTAGAATGATCATCTCGTATATAAGCAAACAAGAAATGATGGACAACAGAATGTAATAATGCAGAAGAAACATCTTCAGTGTAATGCAAATCCCACTGCACACTGTTATCATGCATACTATTAAAAGCAAGGTTGTATTAGCAATTGAAAACTGAACATTTCGTTAAGGCTTGTGTGCTTGAATGAAATGTTTTCATTCACTTTGGGGTGATTTTGAGTGTTAATATGGCAAATGAAATGATTTTTGGTGACATCTTTTTTTGACACACATTTTGGGAAAAACTCAACAATAAACTTTGGGCAAATTTACTACCCTTTCATTATGTTGGTGCCTGTTTTTGCCCCATTGACTTCCATTATAATTAATTTTTTGATTGCAAAGCCATAACAGCATATTATTATGTATTCTTGATTGTGGGTGGTTTTCACTGTTTGTATTTTTTTTTGCTGCTGATCATCCTTTGCAGTTCAAAAGAAGCTAGTTTCTGGCTTTTATATCAAGTTATCTAGACTAGAGTATAGTGTGTGTGAGAGAGAGAAAGTGTTAAAGAGACCCTTGTGCACTTACCTTAACATGACTGAGGCCCTGTTTTCACTAATACATTTCCGTTTTAAAACGCATAAGTTTTGTTATGGTTACGCCATCCATCCACACTATGCTGAAGTTTTCGAGCACTGAAAACAGCTTTTTGAAAACGCAGAAAAGGCCGTTTTTATTTTAAAACGCTGCTGCTCCATTTTATGGTGTGTGTAGGGAAAAACGTAAGTGGGGCTGCAGACATCTGATTGGGGATTTTTCTGCAATATTAAGGCCCCGTTTACACTAGTGCGTATTAGTTTTAAAACGGCGTTTTAGAATGAAAACGATCCGCGTCCACACTCGCGTTTTACCCAGCGTTTCTGAACTGCTCTCCGTCCACACCAAAACGCTGAAAACGCACATCACGTGACCACACACACACACTTTGGCAATCGCTGGAGCCCATCTACCCAGATGAGAGCTCTGCTAGTCGGACTTCTCATCAAGCATCTCCCGCTGGATCTAATCTCACTATATTTATTAAACGTGATATTTCATTCATCTTGTTGTCTTTATCTAATGACATATTCCCTGACTTTGGTCACTGGAATCTATTACTTGTTCTCAGGTAACGTGTTTTTGCAAAGATAAGTTAATGATTAATGTAAGCACGTAGCCTACATTCTGTATATTGACTGATCGCTTGCCTTTATTTCCTATAATGTATAAACTTATTGTATGTTATACTTTTATAATGGCCATTATCGATTATTAAAACTGATATTCAGCAAAAGAGAGGGTGTGTTTCGTATTTTCACTGAAATTGAAAGGAGGCAGTTCGGCTCCGTTTTGTTATAAATATGCACACAGTGAAGATGACGCTCATGCAGCACGACGCCTCAACATTTCTGCTGTCTGTTTAGTTGTTAATATTAAAATAAAAATAGGCAGTTCCTTATATCAAGTTTACATTTTATTGTTGAGAAAGTAAAACAACGTAGCCAAGGTGATGTGAATGAAGTTATAAAGTAACTGTTACACTGTTCCCTGTGAAGATTGACGCGTGTCCTCGGTATGTTTTCCATATCAAACTGAGAAGAAGAGATGCAGCCTTGATCAAACTTGCGAAGTCTGAACTTACACGGAGAAGATTCAGGACTGAACTGTGTGTTAGGCTACTTAATATTGAGGAAAAGCCCCAATCAGAGAGGCGAATGTCTGCAGCCCCGCCTCCGTTTTCAGATGTCTCCGTCTTTCCCCATCCACACTGAGACGGAGCAGCAGCGTTTTAGAATGAAAACGGCCTCTCCAGCGTTTTCGAAACGCTCCGTTTTCGGCGCTCGAGAACTCCGGCGTAGTGTGGACGGATGGCATAACCGTAGCAAAACTTATGCGTTTTCAAACTAAAACGCATTAGTGTAAACGGGGCCTAAGTAGCCTACAGAAAGTTCAGTCTTGCATCCACTCCGAGTGAGTTCAGACTTCGCAAGTTTGATATGGGAAACAAACTTCCAAGGACACGTTTGGTAAATCTTCAAAACACAACAGTGGAACAGTGTACTTTTTTAAACCTCATTCACATCACCCTGGCTATGTTGTTTCACTTTCTTAACAATAAAATGAAAACATGATATAAGGAACTGCCTATTTTCATTTTGATATTAACTTAACAGCCACCAAAAATGTTGAGGCGTCGTGTAGCTACATATTTATATGAGCGTCAGCTCATAACATTACTGCCTCCTTTCATTTTCATTGAAAATACAAAACATACCGTCTTTTTTTGCCAAATATCAGATTTAATAATCAATAATGGCCATTATAAAAGTATAATCTACCATAAGTTTATAAATTATAGAAAATAAAGGCAAGCAATCAGTCAAATGTGCAGAATCAGTGTACGTGGTTATATTAATTAATATATTAACTTGTCTTTGCGCTCAGCCAAAACAGGTTGCCTGAGAACAAGCGATACATTCAAAAGACCAAAGTCGAGGAATATGAGGTCAGATGTAGACAACAAGATGAATTAAATATCACTTTACCAAATATAGTGAGATTAGATCCAGCGGTAGATCTTTGATGAACTGTTCGATGTGCACAGCTCTCATATAAGTGGATGTGCTCAAAGCACCTGTTGACTGCCTGGAGCTTAGACGTGCGCATACGCTGCAGTGCGTGCCAGAGTGTGTGTGGTCCTGTGATGTGCGCTTTTAGTGGTATGGTGTGGACGCAGAGCTGTTCAGAAATGCTAGGTGAAACGCCAATGTGGACGCGGATCATTTTCATTCTAAAATGCGGTTTTAAAACTAAAGCATATTAGTGTAAACGGGACCTAAGAAAATCTAAATAAGCAGCTCAGCTCTCAGAACATTTATTCACGCACACTTTAATTTGTTTTCATCCTCCATAGAACTCCACTAACTTTTTTTCTGCACAGTCACATCTGCACATCAAAAGGGTTAATGGTGCTAACTGATGATTAAGAGTAAAAATTACAAATGTAACCTCTAGCCAACAGGAAAAACCCAAAACAATCAGGGCTGCGTTTCCCGATAACGATTGATCTTAGCACTTAAGAGCGTTTTCTACGAGTCATTTTGCGAACGTTCGTTATTGTTTCACGTGCGTTTCCCAAAAATGCACTTAACACAATTGCACGTAGCCCAGCTTTAAGTGCAACTTAGGAGTCGCTATCCGTTTGTTAAGTGCTGA